GAGTTATAAAAAAGATATTATTTCAGTCCCTGCAGTCATTTTGAAGTAATGGCCATCTGTATTGGTGCTAATATTGATCCACAGATTCCATCTGGATCTTTTAAATTCCTTCTTTTCAGGTAATAGATAAATTCCATTGAATTCACAAAATAATAGAAGTAGTTTACTGACACCAATCAAACATTTCAAAACAAAACAGTTTGATCCTGCTGACTGAGAGTGTATGTATCTGTGTAATGTACATATAAATATATATTATATATTAAATATATAATATATATGAAGTTATAAAGTATGGAAACTTTATTTTAAATTACTGAATGTATCTTACAGGGCCGTGGGAGAGGGATGTATGTGTATCTAGTAATTTCAAGATCCCTTTTGAAATGAAAATTAATTATTTTTTTTTTAAAGTACAGTTGAAAGGGCTATTTGTTTTTGGTGCCTCTTCAAAGGTACTTAGCTATACTAAAGAACTTACGCTCTTTTGGAAGAAAAGATCTACTTAAACTGTTAATCTTGAAATTTCTGCTCTGTTAGATCATCATATTTTGCCACTCTAATCTGTGTTAACTTGGCCGTATAGTAACAACCAATATCTCTTGGCTTCAGAAATAGATTTCCTGTATAATAAAACAGCTATGGTAAGGAGGAGCAAAGCATTAACTTTACAAGTTTTGCTTAACTGGAGGGATAGATTCCAAGTATAAAACCATTGCAAAGCAAAGTAGAATGACAATTTTTCAGATGTTTTGTGTAATTGCAAAACACTAATGGGGATTTATATATGCAGTAGCATTTTTAAAAAGTTAATATTACACTTCACAGAGGTCAGTGGGTTTTTTAATTAATACTAGCTGGTTTTATGTTACTGTTCTTTTCTCTTGAATTTGTGTACAGCTTTGGCATATAATAAGCATTTACAAATGGAAAAGCTTAACTAAATACTTAATATGTAGCAAACCTACCATATGGGAAAATGAACTGTCAATGGATGCAGAAAATCAAGAATTTAATCTGGTGATAAACTGTCTTACTATGTTGAATGCCTTTTAAGTTATTTATTAGTTTATTAAATTGCATTTACTGATACTAGAGAGAGATTTGTGTACACCAGCTAGTACCTCCCGCATGCATTTGGGATGTTTGAGAACACCTTGCATGATTCTACCGGTTTCATTGTAGTACAGTATTTCAGTGCTACGGGTGCTGCAAGCTTTGTTTTTTCACACCAACTTTTTGTAACTGATGGGGACAAAGGCTTAATTGTGTGATTTGGCCTAAGGAAAAATATTTGACGTCATAGATTCAGATCTCGAAACATTCCTGTGTCTTTCAGATGAATAGAATAACAAAATATGACAGGTCCAGCAATACTGGACTCACTTTCTACTAGTTCAAGATGTATTATTACTAATAGAATTAATAGAGCCAGCTTTTAAGTTATAGGTAGGTATCCAAAGTTAATGTTTAATTCAGGAAAATAAAACAATATAGTCCAGTTTGATTCTGATGGTGAAGGTGGCCGAAGAAGCTCACTATCTAGGAGATGTAACCTATTGTTTCAATCTGAAGGATAGGAATAAACTTTGGATTCTGGAGAAGACTTCAAAATAATGTTAAGTAACAGAGTCTCTGTTGGCATAGGTGTTTATTCTGAAAGCTCGTAGGTAAAAGTGAACTGTAGTTGTATAATATTGCATTCAGCAAAGGTAATTGTTTGTGTGTGTGTGGCTGAGCTTCGCAGAGCTTTTGGTAAGAGCTTACTCTGTCTTATTCTTCAGATGTCACACTGATCACAGTGAAAAATAGGCACCTGGGTGTTGCTAACGTTAAGATCAAAGCTTCTGGCCATTGCTGTTTTATTGTTCCGCAGAACTGAATGGTTGACCTTCTGGTCAGCAGTCTGATCTGAGTGGGAGATGGTCTTTCTTTGTTTCTGTTTAATCCTTACATGAGTCTAGAAGGCTTATTAAAAACTAAAATATAGCAATAAACGCCTTTGAAATGTGAGGCGACTGAAACTGGAGGGAGCGTATTGCTATAGTTGTGAGCAATGCTTTCTACAACTACGTGATATGCTCGAAAGTGACTTTTAAAGTGAAATAGCAACCCTGATAGTCCTGACTTCCATGTATATTATGTAAGCTTCAAAGGAGTATCTGCTCACTACTTTAAGTTCCTTTAAAACAGCAGCTGGCAAGTGCTTTTTTTTTTCATGGAGACCTTTACCAGCACCTGGGGGGGGGAGGGGGGCAAAAGCATCTTGCAGAAATGGAAAAGCAGGTAAAACATGACTGAAAGGTTAGTAGTTTTTATTCAGGATTCTTAAACATTTTGTCTTGCTTTTTGCCCACTACCTACTTAATTTCTGAGAGATTTTTAGAAGGAAAGGTGCCTTTGACAAAGAATCAATGTTTGTTTCTTTCTTTCTTTCTTCCTCAATTCAGATCTCCCTTTCTCACTCCAGTAATGTGACTTGTTA